TTTACCCACGTTCTACCCTCATAATTGCTGGTAAAACGATGAATCTAATGAGGGTCCCACTGAAATAGTTTCCAATTGACATGCGGGTATAAACCACTTACCCATAATTTGCTTCGGTTTATTTATTTGTATTAGTCTTTCCCAACTAAACAGTCCGCCTTTTTAGTGTTCTTAAGAAATAGAAATATAAATAATTTTTTTTTTTTTTTTTTTTTTTTGCATTTCTGGCCATTATTTGAACTCCAAGACATTAGACACTCGAGGCGAATCACCAACATGGATAAGTAGCTCATTGCATTTGAATTAGCATGTAGCTCGCAACCCATAGTTGATGATGCATGATCATGAAGGCTAGATAAGTGTTGTGGGATCCAATAAAGATCAATATCGACTTTATTTTAGCCATTAAATTCTGATTTTTTAAAGCTTAATCTTGATCAAAGAAAATTGCTATATTTCGAGCATTTGATCATTCGATTTTAGGTGATTTATGAGCCTTTTTTTCAGCATATTTAAGGAGAATTTCGATTAAATACACATATAATTTTCCTTCTAATGTATCCAACAAACAACAACAAGCTATAATGTATTAATTATGTAGGATTGATTGATTATACAGATATTTTTTCCAGTTATTGAACTCTGAAAAACAATATTCTTGATTAAATCAAGAACATTTATTTTTTAATTTATAATTTCTAGTCAAAAATTTCTAGGTTCTTACAAATCTCTCATTGTATCATTAATATTAATTGTTTCACTTTTAAAATTAAAATATATTAATACCATCTTAAATATTATTTTATGATCATTTCATTGCCTTCTCATATAGACCTGGAACAAAGACATGCTTGATCCAAATGGTAAATGGTAGAAGTAACAAGATATGAAGTTAGATAACTACTGAAAAGGTTCAACATTCATGATGTGCATAATCCAAGAAGCAAAACTTAGTGATATGTATCTGACTAAGAAATAACTTAAACTGTAACAGAATATATATATATATATATATATATATATATATATATATATATATATATATATATATATATATATATATATATATATATATATGCAAGTAAAAAAAATATAAAAATCACAAGCACAATCATAATCTAATTTGGAAAGAAAGAAAGAAAGAAGCATTTGAATTAAAATATTTGCCAAAATCCATTGCATAAATTTGTCTTGACCACAAAAGATATGACTAGGTGTATAAATTAAACTGTGAAGAGAATATCATGGTTATGGACATATATTATAATTCAACTAACATAATTAATCAAATATTTATCACTGAATTTGGACATGTAGAAATAGAATCTATGTATGCATGTGTCTGTCTGAAGAAAGCAGATTTTTTTTTTTGAACACTTACAAAAAGTTTTGTCAAGCATTGGTACAGTATTGATGATCTTAAATAAGAATCACAAACAATAAAACAAATTATGAAACAGATTGATAGGTGATAGCAAAATAATTGCTAAATTTCTCAATGCAATTAAACAAGAACAGAGGGCTGAGGAAAACAAAATTAGTGACATAGATTTAGGTACACAAAATGGAGATGCTACATAGGTACATTTGGAAAACTTCAACCAAGTTCATAAAGTTATCTATGAAGTGCAAGTTTTTATTCACAAGTTTTGAACCTAAAGAGGTCATAAGCACAAAAAAGAGCATCTGAAAGATAAAAATGCTACACATTAAAAAGAAGATTTTTTTTTTACACTTAGGGATATTGAATCTGGCTATTGCGAAAGTACATTAGTAATGATGATTAAAATACAGGCCCAACTACCACAATCATATGTGTATACTTAAAGAAAATTCCTTCATTTTCTTTTCCCAAAGAAGGTTGTTGTGTGCTTTCAGAACTAATCTATTTGTCCAAAATACATCATTCATCAGTTATGCACTGATAAAGGAACAAGAAAAGATGGTATGCTAGTGATGTGAGCTAGTTGGAGAAGGAATAAGAGAGAGGAGAGGATGGAAGAAAAGAAAGAAAACAAAGGAAAAGAAAGAATTAAAAGGGCAATAACATACTAATGTTCATTCCAAGATAATTCTTTGCTGAATTACATCATAAAACCTCTATTTATAGCCTCAAATCAACATAAGTTCCAACAACAAAAATAACTCAAACCATGATTCCAACAATCTAAACATATGCTTCAGGAAAACATCTCGACTCACAATTCGAACATATCGAACAAAAGTTCCAGGATTACAAACAATAATTCCAACATACCGTAAGTAGAGAACACAATTTGAACAAATATACTACTGAAGACACTTGTTCCCTAGTCTTTTCGACTTGAGCCTAGAGTAAAATCCTTCTTAAATCTTTGGTTGAGCCGCTATCAACAAGCCCCTAGATGGTGCCCTGCCCCCAATCTAAAAACCAAATCTGGTATTGAGATGCATATCACACAAGTTATCGTAAATAGTTGGAAACCTCCATTTCTAACAGAAAAAAAAAAAGGAGCAATAGATAGATAGATAGATAGAGATAGAGAGAGAGGAAGAATAAATAACAAAATCTATGATACTATTATATTATTAGTTCAAAAGACCAACAGGAGAAAAAAATAGTTATCATGAACCGAAATTAAATTGGTCTATGTTCAGTCTTTCTAAACACTCTGCACTTTATGAAACAAGTAATATCTTCACGACATGCTAATTCTTTTCTAGAAAGGTTTACTACAGATTTGCAAAAACTTGCTGATGTTGGAAATTTCAAGCAACAAGAGGATTGACAAACGTGGAGAAACAAGCTCAAATGTTCATCAAAACCTGTTCAAAACTGCTGATCATGATGTTGAGGCAATCATGATGGAGAATTTCAACACCTAAAGTAACATCCTCTATCCTCAAACATGCATGTATAATCGCAACGTAAATTCCCCCAAACAACTGATTGCTTTCTCTTTTTTTGTCCCTTTTTGTCAATGGATATTGCAATTTAGTTCAACTACATACTAAACATTCCCAGGACTTAAATCAAGAGAGAAGAGAGGATAAAGATAGAACTTATCTCAGGCCTGCGTTGAGCTGTTGGAGAGCGCCTTCATGTCAATGCGACCCATATCTGAGAGACTCCCGGCTGATAATGACGTCAGTAGAGCATCGTAGGAACCTCCATTGTGCCTCCGGACGAGCCCATTGCCACCGTACGCCCTGGTCATTGTAGCATACACGATCGATGTGACAATGGCAATGAGGGTAGCGTGGAGGGTGAAGAACAAGTCCAGGAGCGCAGCGGCGCGGAGGCGGGAGCTCTCGATATCACACCTGGTGGAGGAGAGGTCGCGGAGACCCAGCAACCGGTGGCAGCCCTCGGGAATGAAGGCCTCGACGTACAGGGAGAGGTCGGTCTGGAATGACCAGAGACCCTGGAGAGCAACGGAGGCGGTTAGGGCTAGCTCAACGACAAAGAACCTCGGAGCAACGGCGACGACGAGCGCAGCGGCAGCAGAGGCGGCGGAGATGGCGTCGCAGTTGGACTGGAGTTCGGCTTGTCATTTCCTCCTCCTCCTCTTCATCCCTATTGATTTACTTCTCCAAACTCTCCCCCTTAACTTCCTCTTCCTCTCACTTCATCTCTATTGTCACCTCCTATCTCTTATCATCATTCTCTCGCTCTAACTCCACCTCCCCATCCTCCCACTTCAACTCCAACATCGCCTCCTCCCCCTCTCCCTCGTCTCTTCCCTCTCTTACTCATCCTCCTCTCTTTCCCCCTCCTTCTCCTCCTCGTCCTCACATATTGCCTTAAAAGAAAATTCAATACAAAAATATATTATTTTAAAAATTAATCATCTTAAATTTATATAAAAATATTAAATATATTACATCTCATCTTAATAGTTATAAGAAGTTAGGATCGATTTGATGAAAATTTAAAGAGTTATACTCGAGTTATATTGATCAAATATTCAACCTAAAACTATCCTCTTTCAAAAATTAATTATCCTAAATTCATTCTAAAATATAAAATAATATTAAATATATTATCTTCTCACCCTACTAATTTTGGAGAAGTTTAAAAAGATTTTAGGAAAATTCAACAAGTTACACTTATCATCAATTCAACCCAAAGATATCATATTTAAAAATTTATTCACTCTAAAATCATAAAAAATTAGAAACATAATACTAAATATTTTAGAATCATATGTTAGTAGTTATGAAATAATTTGAATTAGTTTGATGAAGATACCTTAATTATACTTGAGTTACACTTATGTTATTTTTGGGTTATACTCGTTCACAAATTTAACAAAATTCGATTTGAGCTGATCCGAATCAACTTAACCTAAATCATAATGGTTAGATCAGATAAAAATAACTCATGGATATGTGATTTAAGGATATTATTAATTTTTTTAAAGACGAGTGTCCCTTAATAAAAACGGAGTGTCATATGATAAAAACCTAATATTATAGGTTTTTTTAATTAAATTATCATATATATATATATATATATATATATAAGGTGATTTCCATAAAAAAAAACCCTTATTTTTGTGCATTTCCTAAATAGTTATCATAATTTTGATTTTTTCCAAACCATATCCCTTAATTCAAAGCTACCCATATTGCCCCTCCCCCTCCACCCCTCCACCGTTGCCTCCGTGCACTGTCGCCTTGCGCCGCCTCTGCCGCTTTCCCCGTGCCCTGCCCTGCACCGCACCGAAGTGTGAGGGCTACCACTGGCCCTCTACCTCACCGAAGCCACCCCCGCAGCCCTCGTACGAGAAATGAGAGCGCGTGAGGGCTGCCGTCGGCCCTCTCCTCCAACATTGGCTTAACCAGACATTTGGCTTTGTGGTGGTTGTATCCACCCAAGAGTTTAAGATGAGAAGTCATTGATTTAAAACCTTTCCAAAGGCAGCAAAGCAAACTTCAGGAATGCTCACTGATGATTTATAAATACATCAACCACATCATTGTTGGTCTGCTCACATGATCTACCAGCAAGAAATGGCTTTGGAGAATGCTGTCTACAATACCTTCTTCCATATAATCACATACGATAACATTTCATGCAAATGTTCACAGTATCATATCCATATCAAGTTACAAAAACCATAGTCTGGGAAAACTTTCCATCCAAGAATTACATCTTCCGAAAGGTACTAGAATTCTTCATGTATACAACAAAGGGGTCGACAACCTGCACTTTGTCCCCTTAACAATGTTTCATGATAAGATGATCCCAGTATATCAAGATAGTGGATGAACTTGTATAAAGTTACTGCTTAATAAGTTGACATCATGAAGTTGATCCTGGCAGGTATATCCGGTGAATGTTACTTTGAGACAGCTTCTCTCGGCAGGTTGGGCATCTCTTCTGTACTCGGATGGCACTAATGATGCAAGCTTTGCAGAATACATGTCCACAGGTGGTAGTAGTCTCCTCCTTCATTGTGTCCATACAAATAGCACATCTCAACTTCACCTCGATGATATTAGACATGTATTGGCTGCTTGATGCCTGGTCAAACATGAACTAGGTCAGAACCAGTGGAACACTCGTCACAACAGAGGCAGAACTAATCAATATTTCCAAAGGGCAACCATGGTGATCAAGGAAAAGTTCATGAATCTAAGATCAAATCAGACATACGATATTCGATTAAGCACAAAATTTGGAAAAGAGTGGAGGATCTTGAAAGTTGAAGCATTAAAAAAAAATAGCACAAAGGTTCCAGAAGCTCATAATAGATGTTCACAACACGACTAAGAAACAGATAAGTGACAGTCTTTAGCTTCCTGCTATTCATTTCATTCACTGTATACATATTCCAGCCAAGATACGAGAAAAAAAAACAGTACAAATACATACCTTGCCAGATTTCCAAGCATTAGGGTCTTTGTATCCGTCTTCTAATGTATCATTCCAGCCATTTGAACTCTGAAGATAAAAATTAGAGGCTGCCAGGAGATGGAAAAGCATTAGAAAAATCCTGTGTTTGAATGTACAAGTTTTATCTGGATTTAAAAGCCAGGCAATTAGTGAGATCAATTAAGAAGAAAGCATTAGTAATGAGAAACAAAAATATCACATATGATGAATTAAAGTGAAAAACACCATTAAACAAAAATACGATGATAATAAGTATTCCAGAAGTCAATTGCCATCACAGTGAAGACCTTTCACAGTTGCCTTGCTTTTATAAGATCCACTACTCTCCCTCCCTCTCTCCCTCTCTCTCTCTCTGTCCATCTTTTTTTGTCTTTTCCACCTCCTCGCCACCTTCAAAGAGACATAAGTAAACTTTTTCTCTTTGCAAAAACCAAAAATAATGATATGATATAAAATCAAGATGTCCAACAAAAAAATACTTTTTTGAGCAAAGAATAGTTCAAGAATACCAAATGGTCCAACAAATAGTAGGTTTACGGCACACAGAATTAGAGTTTTCCCCATGCTACAATAAAGAATTCAAATGTCACTATATGACTCCATGACCTATCACAAATATCTCATGCTTTAATACGATAAATGCATCATCACCTTGTACTTAATTCTTATCTACAAAAATACTTTTAGTACTAGTTAGAATGGGGAATAACACTGTCATCCTTCATTTCTACTATTGCCAAAATCCAAATTTCTGATGTATAGTGGAGTTCACTAGAATCCAAAAAGAAACCATCGAATGTTGATCCATTATGTTGTCACTTTAAGTACTGTCCATAGCTGATATTAAAGTTTGATTCTATTAGTTGGACTTTCTACCCAGATATCCCACTCAATGTAGAACTGCATCCTTCAGGTTTACAAATGTCACTTGTAGGTAAAACTATAACTGGAACAATAAGTTCAGTACACTAAACAAAGGTTTGAAATACCCCATACTTGTTGGTACAAACCAATATTTATGGGCCTTTTGATAGCCATTCAGGATATGGACCGGATAATTTCAGTTGTCTGGTCGAATAAAGGTTGTCCTATCCAATAAGCTCACCATACTGGCTTACCAGCTGGTATGTAGACTGGTTTTGAACAGTATCAGGTGGTAAGCCTACCAGTGCTCTCTTTTCTTTTTTCTTTCTTCTCTCGCTCTCTCCTACCTCCTTAGCCACAGCCTAGCTAAAATGCAGAAATTCAATGTAGTACTGCATTCTCCTTGGTTGTCAAATAGCATCAAGGCTACAAGGTAAAGCCTCTTAAACTAGATAGCTTATCATCTAAGATAATGAGCTTTTATTGGAGCATATGACATAAATATTAATCAATTGACCAAATGAAAATTATTTCGGTTATTACCCAAGTGAACTACACATGCACACACAAGATGATATTAACATCAGCCCAACTACTTGACATTTTCCTTTATAGGTCGACAAGTTAAAAAAAAGTAAAAAAATTTCTGAACTAACTAACACCTGATACGTGGGAAGTCTTTGATGAATTTACTATTCACCTTGAACCATATCTATCTGTCTCTTCATTACCTATGATAATGGATGTACATGTATAGAAGATTAAATGTCTAAAAACGAAAAATAATTATCATAACATCACATTTTTGAGCTTGCTAGCTCTTAATACAATTTTTGAGTTTGCTACCGCAGAGGACTTGCTTGCAAACAGAATTGCCTACAAACAAAATTGAAGTATAATTGCAAACGATGGATGTAGAAATGCAGGCAATCTTGTTTGGTTGACATGCAATCAGGAAAACATATGGTTATCACGCAAGTAAAATAACATGGTTATGATCCAATGCATAAGTAAATTGATGAAAGCAGAAACGCAGGCAATCATGTTTGGTTTTCCAATGCTCCCTTCCCTTAGCTTTTATCATATCAGACACTTCCACACTAGTCGATGCTGCTAGATTCATGAATGCAAAATATTATCAATTATCTCGTACTTCATTTTGAACAAAGCTATCCAATTTGAAGGATAAAATATTCAAGATTCAGTATTTTCCATGTTAAAACTTTGTAAGAAACCTGAATAATTTCACACCAACTTCCTTACCTTTTTATGCTGCTAGTTGATCTTATCTTATGCTTCCTTAAACCCTCAACGAAATCACAGAGAGAATATGGATTAAATACCTACTATGCTGTCTCCTAGATGATATAACAATTCTAATTATCTCCATTTTAAAAAACTTAAGAGAGATATGAAACTTCATCATTTAAGGGCAAATGACTCTGGAGCTATAAGTAGTACAGAAACTGCCTTTGGTGCTATCATAATATCAGCAAATGATAGAAATTCAATGAGGTTTCTCAATCTCCTATGTGTCAGTACCTTGGTCTGCACTGTTGATAATTACCATACAAAGGGTTGAAAAACATAATCTATCATAAAGAAGTTACCCACTGAAAATCCACAACAGAAAGAAGAAACATTATGCAAAAGAGATGCTTGGATCACCTCCAACTCCAAGCCGAAGTTCTAGATCATCTTCTCTGATTGTAGGTGCCAATGAACTTGTATATTGATCGAGCCTAATTTCCTGTGGCAAGAAATATTATCATGAATCCAAGCAAGCATTGACAGGAGATCAATAACCAAAAGCAGAGACAAAGACCCAGATAATTAGTATCCAAAATCAAGCCCAATGATTGCATGGTCCTGAAGAAGTACCTCCCCTGAAGATGGAGTATACATCTGCACGTCATCATCGTCATCCTCGATCAGTATAAACTCGGGACAACCTCTTGTGCAACTTGCAGCTGAACTCTGGCCTTTATACAGGGGAGACAGGCCGAGTCTCAGCTCAAGGTCTTGAAAAGTGCCTATGCTCGATCTCGATCTACCCATGATCACTAAGTTAACTCCAAGAATTCTCTAACTGGTAAGCGAAACCACAAATCAAACTAAAATTCAGCAGTATCGAGTAATTATTTTTTTCTTTAGCTAAAAACACAAATCTGTGACTACTTGGTGCAGCAGAACTACAGAGAAGAAGCACGGCGGCAAGCCAAATACAACAAAAGAACAAAAATTCTTCTTTTTGCGAAGATCCGGAGAGAAAATTGGGTGAGAGGAGGAGATTGCCAGATGCTACATGAAAACGATAAAAAAAAAGCCGAATCTTTGTGACAACCAGAGATCCAAGACGAAGCCAACAGCGGAATTTGCCTACAAATCGATAACAAGAAAGATCGAGGAAGCTAGAAGAGCAAAATTCCAACTTTTACTACGAAATCAGCCTTACTAAGACCAGAATAGACAGATTCCGCGGCGAATCGTCGATCCACTACGTCTCGAGCAGCGTACGAGACGGATTCAAAGGATTAGAGGGGAAATAGAGGGACATACAACGAGAAACCCCAACCCCACTCGTGATGAGAACGGCAAAGAGTGTGTGCATCCACCGGCAGTGATAATAATAATAATAATAATAATAATAATAATAATTATTATTATTATTATTATTATTGTTTTCGACCAAAAAAGACTGGAAAAAGGAAAGTGAAAAAGGCACTCTTTTTTTATTTTTCCTTTTTACCAAAAAAAAAAAACAAATTGCGGCGTTAATATTAAAAAGGTGAGGTTAGAATTGAGGGACAAAGGAGAAGCATATATAATAATTTTATTATATATTGAATTGAATTGATTGTTGAGAGTTTTTATTATTCTTTAGGATCAAAATTAAATTAATTAAATATAATATTTCTTATTGAAAAAGTAAAATAAAATAAGCTTCTGATATCCATGAACCAATAAAAATTTGATTTATAAATCTCATTCACTTAGAAAATATCAAAATAACTGCAATCTAATTTAGTACTAAACACTATTATTGCAAGGTTATAAGGTCAAATATTCTTTGTAAATAATAATAATAATAATAATAATAGTTGTTACTTCAACATCAAATATTAACCAGAATACCCTTTGACCGTAAATAAGAGTCTCTTTATATACAATACAATTTGATCTATTTATCCTTCAAATTCAGTCGGTTAATTTTATTACTGAAATGATTTTAACACAAATTAACTTTACTTACTATTAAATATATTATAATAAATAAGAAAAAAAATAATCTAATCACTCTCTCCTCTCACATGCATATTATAATTATAACAAAATTTATTTTTATAATATAATATATCCTTTTACAATATATTTTCCCAAAACTAATCATAAATTACTAACTATACAAATATATTGTTTTCAGGATTAATTTATTAGGTGAATTTTAAAAAAAATCCATAACTTTGGGTTTTTTTTGGTGGAGCATTTCAAGTTAATTGTGCCTTCGCCCTTTATTGTTCTTTCGCCCGATCGATCGTCTTTTTTCATCTCATGGTTAATTATCCTATCTATCATGATCGATCATGACTTTTATTGGTCACCCCCTTCTTCTCTCCTAATCATCTTATGCCCTTACATGTGAGTTAACATATAACGTTGGTCACTCTCCTATACTTTTGGCATGTGAGTTGGTAGGCAATGTTGCATTGCTTACTAGTCATTTACACCTTTGTGCGGGAGTTAGTGGCATCAATCACCCCCCTTCCCTTATTGGCCCATTGGTCGTCTCTCTCTCCTCTCATAACATTTTATGTCAATATAGTGAGGTTTATAATGTAAACTTTTCTCTTACGACTGTCTATACCTTTATGTAAGGGTCATGATCGATCATAACAATAAGCAAGTGAGACCTAATGGATCTAATGGCCGAGAGCGAGTAAAGACAGTTACGGCTAAAGCTACAATAAAATTTTTTTAAAATCGTAAAGATAAAATAATTTTTTGATGCAATCCACACGTTCAGTAAAAATTTGTCAAGCTTGGCACTATTAAAAACCTAAATTTAAGAGTGTTTTTTATTTTTATTTTTGGAGAATTCGCCCTAATTGCTTTTATAAATATTAACTCTACCCCCAAATAGCGAGCCCAAAATGTAGGGCTTGGTTCAAGGCGCCGGCCTTATATATGGAATCCAACTATGCTGCTTGGGTTTAGCGAGGGTGTGGGGGCTGCCTCTTGCACGCGAAGGGCTTCGAGGGCGTTGTCGGACCCGCCGCTCTCGAAAGGAAGAGCACAGTTTCAAGTAGCATAGCACCGGCGACTTCCTCTTCTTGGTGCACAAAACGGCTGCTTCTTCTACCTTGTCTGCAGAAGTGACGAGGGATCGTGTGGCGATTGGAGATAAAATGGGAAAGACGATTTCTGGTGCCGACAGGGAGGTACACGCCATCATCCCTTTCTCTCTTTCCGGAGATTTCTTCTTTACCTTTTCTCGGCTTTCTTTGTGCTGCAATTCCTATCGAGTGTCTGGTTGAAAGGCGACATCTTTGGTGACAATTTTAACGAATTGGTATCAGGTTTATAGCTAATCGTATTATTTCCCGTATCCTTGTACAGATATGTTTCACTCGAGTTGCACTGTATGGACTATACCTGGTTCCTTGTTGATTGGAAAATGTGTGACTGTTTCTGATGGTGGTTCTTTAAATGCATATCTATGTTATTCGTGCCTTCTAATTTCACTGATATAGACCTCCTCCATCCTCTCTCCTGTCTTCTCTTTCTTTTGCGTTTTTCTTCCTTAAATACTCCTCTTTGGGTACATATTTTTCCTATATACGTGGAAGAAATTATTCCAGTCTTTCTCCAACCAACAAGTTTTGACATAAATGAAATAACATGAGAAACATATAAAGCTGACCCTAGGGTTAGAATTACGGAATTTCTAATCATTTATGTCGATTTTAGCATACTTACAAGGTTAGGCCTTTATACAGTACTATTCTACATGTTCTGTAATTTTAGGATTCGCGTCCTTTATGTTGAAGATTGTTTTTAGGAAACTATGTGAGCCTTCTTGCCTCAACAAGTGTAAGATTATGAGGAAATCAGATAGTAAAGTAGTCTGTACATTTGGGAGAATAGCTTTGAGAGTCAACAACAGAGAGAACTTTAGTGTTCATTAATCCAGACCCTAGGTTTGCCATGCAAATCAGTTTTCTTCTTACATTGACCAATCGAGTTCATAACCTTACAGAATGGTGCTGTGTTTTGCAAAATGCATGATATATGTCAGGCAGTTATCTTAGCAATTATACTCTGTGGTCTACTTTATTGGAATCCCCCAGTAAATATAAGGTCCTTTATGGTGGACAGATATATCTGAAGTTCTTACAATGGTTGCAAAAATAATTCATTTTGTCTAACGACATATCATAATTCCTCAAACCTGCGCTAGTCCTTACATGATGTAATTCATTCCAAGCTGATGATCCAGCATGTAACTTTGGCATATTGCAGAATCTGAATAATTTGTCTTGACCTGAATGTTTGGTTGTAGTTTTATTTTCATGCTTCATTCACCTCTCTAATGGATCATAAGATACAGTATAAACTTTATTTCACTAGGCCAAAGCATAACCTATTTTATTTATCTTATGTCAAGCTTAATCGAATAAATTGTCTTAGGTTCTTGCTGAGATTGTGAGGTTAACCCAAAAACAAGGACTGAAAGGTGCCGAAGGAGGATGGAAAGATTTCCTACAATGCCACGAAAAACAATTTGGTTCTGGTTTAAGTGACCCAGCCAAGAGACCTAAAGAGCTATTGGTTGCCTTTCTTCAAACATTTAGGAAAGAAGAAAAGAAGGTAACTGCTGCATTAAGCTTTGTGGTCCTATGAACAATTCAATTTTGTTATAATGTCTCTTCTTGCATTGTTGAGAGTTACTTGTTTTTTCGTTATAGGTATTTGATAAAATGATAAGACGGAATAGTGATCATAATGCAATGAAGCAGTTGATAAAAGACTCTCCGGGCCTAGAATCGCCTCAACAGGTATAAAATGGGTGGTCTCCGCACATAAGGTCCCTGAGTTTCATTTGCACTTCCTATTGTCTTAGAATTAGTGATTGACAGAAGATGCAAATTCTTGTTGGATATGCCATTTATACTTTAGTGTTTTTCTTGTTTCATTAAATTAATTTCTTCTTGTAGCTTTTAGAATAACAATTATTGCTGTCAATTGTAGTTTAAGAGTCTGGAATGCTTGCTAGCCAATTCAGTTGTGTTGGATTTACTATAAAATGATGGGACTGAAAGTTCTCAATTTTTTATGTTCGAGATCCTCCACTTTGGTCGTTTGCTATTATTTTGATTTTCTTTTGTTATATTGCAATTATATCTTAAACCATTTCTAATGAGGGCCCCTACCTTGGTTGACCTTAGACAAGGATTTTCTTATTCATTTTTTTTTGTTGTTATTTTTGGATGTATGCTTGTCTACACCTTAAATAGCTATTTTTTATTGTGTTTAGAGTCATATTTTTTTTTGTATTATTTTTATCTTAGTCTATTTTGGTTATAGAAAGGATCTGGTGAATCCATAAGTCGTTAGAAGTCATCATTAGAGAGTACTAAAGGTGTCTTATATAGGATCTTTTGGAATTCCAAGATTAAAAATAGAAATCCTTCTCTTATATATGATAAAGTGGAATAAAGGTACATAAAGTTAAATAGATTTTTTTATCACTAGAAAGATAGATAAAGTTATTTGTAAGAATTGTAAAAGTTATACATGACAAAAGTTTGACGAATCAACATATGTTGATGGTATTAAATATTTATTATAGAAAATAAAAGAAGAAAAAAATAGTAGAAAGAAGATTCTTGGTGAAACTAAAGGTAGAGATGTAACCTTAAGAGAGTGTTGGTGGTGATGTGAAGAAATTCAAAAAATAATTTTTACTAAAAGATAATGTTTTAAAAATTGATAAAATTATAAAAATGAGAAAAAAAAGATATAAAGAATTAAAAAATAGGCAAAAAAAAGTAATTAGTATGGCATGATATAAAGCTTGTGATAATTTTTATAATAAATTAGGTACTAAAGATGGTGAAAAAAAAATATATATTAAATTACTAAAGCTAGGGAAAGAAAGTATAAGTATTTAGGTAATATTAGATGCATTAAGGATGAAGATCAAAGAATACATATTTTGATAATAAGTTTAAGGAAAGATGACAAAATTATTTTTATAAATTATTTGATGAATATTCTATATAGGGCTTAGATTTAATGATAAATAGTAGTGATAGATTTAATAATCATAGATTTATTTATAAAATTAGAGTTAATAAAATAAAATATGTATTAAAGAAGATAAAAATAACTAATAGTGTGGGGCTTGATGGTATCCCTATTGAGGCGTGAAAAAGTTTAGGGGACAAGGGAGTAACTTGGTTAACTAGTTTATTTAACAAAATCATGAAATTTAGAAGGATGCCTGATGAGTGGAAAAAGAATTTTTTAGTGCCAATTTACAAAAATAAGGGTAACATACAAGATTATTCAAATTATAGATAAATTAAAATCATAAGTCATATTATGAAACTGTGGAAAAGAGTTATCGAAAGTAGGATAAGGCTTGAAATAAATATATCTGAAAATCAATTTGGTTTTATGCCTAAAAGATCACCTTCCTTCATGTTCATGTTACTAATAGGCTCGTCTTTATTTATTGAAAGATTTGCATGCCAGCTTTAGTTGGATGGTTAATGGCCTAAACATATTTATTGCAGAGGCTGGTTCGTTTGACAATGGAACATCCACGTTATACACAATATCACTCTTTACCTGTCTATGATGAGGTCTGTTTCCATCTTTAGCAACAAAATACTATCTGTCTCATATACTTATATAGATGTCACTGTGCAGCCATCATCTTTTGATCTAATTGTTTGACTCATTACCAAACTGAAATTTCCAATGCTATCATTGTGTAAGTATTTGATTTGTTGCGGAACTTAGGTTTGTGATAATCAATTTTTTTTTCCTTCAGACATGAAATTATATTCTATGCAATTCTTGATCACTTCATTTGCCAGTGTTATCCAAGCATCATATCTATCTTGAACATAATTGTAGGGATCAGAGAAATGTTGAATGTTCTGTTTTATTTATGGAGTTTTTGGTATGGGATTTAACCTGCACATGTTAGTCTTACATTCAGTTTTGCTTTTCCAAACCAGATGCAGTCTATCTTGGAACGAACATCAGATATGTTTTATTCTAAGTAATTGAGATTTTCTAAAATCAGTTAAACAATGATTTATACCAAATGATGATTATTGTGATATAGCGACTACCTGTGAGCAAAAGCGAGATTAATGCATACTTCAAAGTTCAAACTGGATCAACTTGAAAATCAGATTTTGTTTGCATGAGTCTTGCTTTTGAGAATATTATTTGTTCAATGATACATGTCAGAATATCTCATATATTTTTCGACTGATGACAATGTTAAATCATGCATAATGTATAAACTGTTTGGAACTGGAATAGATTGATTTGGAATGACTTAACTATCATTCTAGTTAAATTTATGGAGTAATGAAATGGCTCTTGATATTCTTAATATTTGAACTTTATTCTAATTTGGTGGCAATTCTTTCATATACATCTTTTTATCTAAGAAATTTAACATCTTTTCTTATTAAATATTTTGAACTGTTCCTAGGCTGCATGTGACAGAGAATAACTTTTTGAGTTTAAAGATCTTGTTTGGATTCTAGATTTTCCACTAATTAATTGGGCTTTTGCAGGATTGGATAGATATTCCTTTAGGTAAAGTTTCTGAAGCAATGAAATTGAATGCTATGATCTCTGTTGATTGTGAGATGGTTCTTTGCCAAGATGGCACTGATGCAGTGGTGAAAATATGTGCAGTAGATCACAATTTGGAGGTAGTGTTACTTCTTTCTGTGCTATTATATTTTTCACTGAATGATCAAGAATGACAATTTGGATGCTCGATCATACAATATTGGTTATAATAATATTCACAAAACTGGTAAGGGCAACAATGATGCACACAATAGTGACAAAAAACTGGAGAGGGCAGAAAGATTTGAGGGCTACTGATGCTACCTGCCACTTCATTTTTCATGATAGTACTACTTTTGGGCTCAATCTGAGATTTTTTTGGCTAATTGACTTAATTTTATATCTTGGGATGCGTCAATGGAATGCAATTATTGATATATTTGCTGGACAAAGTGGATTAACTTTGACCAAGATATTTTGGTGTGAGTATATTGTAATGGGCATATTTTTAATTGCAAATTCTTTTGAATATCAGGAATCAGTTTTTTATTTGGCAAAGTATATATATTTAAGTTGTGTTTCTTTGGATTTTTGACCTACTGATGCGAGGCAATCTGGGAAAAAATAATTGCATGTATTTATGAAGGTAAAAATGAATGATGTAAATCAAATTAAAATGCAATTATGTAATTTATGCAATCAAAACTTAAGATGAACAATAATCAAGGTGAGATCAAGTTAGAATTTTTGCCTGGCTATATTACAAAAGTCTAAAATTAGAAATGTTTCAATGATGGTTTGCCAGTTTGATGTTTATTTAATTTAGACACAACTGCCACAATTTAAAGCTTTCTGCAGGTCTACAATGTCATCAAATTCCTTTAGTTAATGAAGAAGACTACTGCTGCCTGGATGTTCTGTGTTTGTGTTTTCGGTTGAGACAAATAGCCAACAGATTTTGAGCAGTATGCTTAAGAAAACAAATGTTTTTGGAGCACAGACAGTGATGATTTCTCTAGCCCCATTGTTGTCAAGTCTTATAACCAAAGAACAATAAACCACCCGAGGAAAATAAATTTCATCCTCTTTCGTGAGCAAAAGAGTGCTGTGAATAGTGGTTGAACAACAGTCAAGGAAAAAATGCTAGTGAAGGTTAATAATTGGCATTGGCAATTCAATGTATGCATTCAAAAGTACTAGTACATGTTGTTGATCATTCTTAGATGATATAAATCTTCGTTGCATACTCTATTGTTGATTTTCTTGATAGACTGAAATTTTAATTATTTTTATAAAAAAACTGAACTCTGTGTGCTTGTACACAGATTATTTATAGCACATGAATATGCATATATGGATACATGCTATTGGGCAGATGCATGTAGATGAGCCTTTCTGCATGTGGATCAGACATGTTCTTAGTTGATACATGAATTAAAAAATATTTCTACTTTCAGGTGAAACTTGAAAAACTTGTGAACCCCGGGAAAGTTGTTGCTGACTATAGAACTCACATTACTGGAATATCTTCCAAAGATTTGGAAGGAGTTACTTGCTCCTTGGTTGATATACAGGTACGTTTCACTTATATTCTGACTCTTAAATTTTATACACCATGGTTAACCTATGCTTTTATTTAGAAATCCTTGAAGAAACTCTTATCACATGGGACTATTTTAGTGGGCCATAGTTTGCATAATGATTTACAAGGTACGCAATACAACATAATCTTCAATAGCTTGTAACTTATTTATCTTTTTTTGTACTTTTACATCTGTTCCTTGCGTAAATCTAGATTTCTTCGACTTTATTGTAATACATGATATGTCCTTTTTGTGTCTCCTTTATATTTTACAGCACTAAAAGTTAATCATCCACGAGTTATTGACACATCATACATCTTCAAGTGTGCTGGTCTACCTACCCTTTTGCCTTCCTTAAATAACTTGTGTAAGGTATATTCTGGAAAATAATGCAACTTTTTATGTTTTTTTCTACTATTTTGTGGTGCATGCTGAAGTTACCAATTTCTTCAGTTTTTGTAATCAAACCATAATTTGTTTAAGAAAATGATCCATCTCAATGTCTTTCTCTTCATTATATTAGATTTCTTAGATACAAAGATAATTCTTATCTTTCCATGCTTGTTCCCTATTTCTTGTGTCTAACAAATTTATTAGATTCTGTTGGTCACAAAGGTAAATTCATGGTCCTGCGGATATGCCAATTGTTGGCTTTTCTCTAAATTTTTATATGTACATTTTTTAGTTTATTATTCTCCACCATTTCATCATGGTCCTGCAGATGTATTATATTTTGTCTTTCATCATCAACATTTTAAGTCACTTATTTTTTTTTTAATTTAAGTTTTCTTCTAGATTACATTAACCTGCTAACTATACTTTGATGTGTGTGTTTTATGCAGGAACATTTCCATTTATAACAACTTATTTTATGCAAAAGAATTTGATATTCACCATAATGGGAAAAAATTATTGATGCAAGAATGTTTGCAATTGAAGCATATGCTTGCTAGTGCTTTACTTTAACATGAAATTTAGAACCATTTGGAGCCAAAATAGTTGAGGGTTATACAAAGAATTTGGGTTATTATATTTTATATTTTATATTTAAGTTTATATTTTATATTTTATATTATATTTCCATGTATTGTATTATTTTATATTTTTATATGTAAATTCATGGTCCTTATAATTTTATATTTTTTATATTTTATATTTTATATTTTTTATATGTAAATTTGGGTTATTATAATTTACATATTTTTTATATGTAAATTCAAGTTGTATAAGAACATGAGGCTATGCAATTTATGGGTTGCTGCTTGGTGTAAACGGAGTTGCCAAAGTGAGGTTGATAGATTAATGGGTGTGTAGGAAAAGAAGTTGGAGAAAGATAGAAGATAACAAAAGAGAAGGGGAAAATGGCTGACAGGCTAACAAAACTCAACCTTTCAACAATTTGTCTCTGTATAATCTGTATAATAGACTCGATATATTTTTTATTTTATAGATTAAGTAGGATTCTAGCTACAAAGTTTAGTTAAGCTGAGGACTCTATGCCTTATCCAACTTTGTCTGATGTTTTATTGGAATAGGAGTCTATCTATAACAAAATTTGGCCATATCGTAACTAATGAATAATGACAGTCAGCCACTTATTTGACTTAACTACGAAAATACTTAAAATTAGAACATTACAGTTTGCTCAAATTAGTCTCAACTACACCTAGTCTTTCACCCAACTGGAGATCAGGGTTCCATTAGTGCTAAGCAAGGTTCTAGGACTGAGATTAAGATTGAGGTTTGTCTAGGGTTCAAGATTGAGATTGATGAGATCAATGTGATTGGGACAGGCTAAAATAATTTGTAGGTTCAAAATTATAATACAACTAGAAAATGAAAGATGATTAAAGTTGTGCTCTAAAGCCTTAATGTACGTGACACGTGTATTGTGTTTGTACATTCATTTTGAGGATATAATACAATTAAAAAAGAAATGAACTTCAAGAGGTAAATGGGAGATAATTTTTTAGGGTATGAAATAAGAAAAGAAGGTACATGTGATTAATGGTTAATCCCCCCTCTTCATCTCGTGCCAACCCAGTGTTGATTATGTTTATTCATATTGAAGTAGAACACTGGGCCATAATTGGTGGGGCACATATTAACGGACAATGTCAGATGTGGTAATTGGAGGATTACAAATAAAAATACAATTGGAGAGAACCTCAGGATGAAAACCTGAGATTACATAGGATTAAAGTGTCTCTTATTTTTGTGTCATGATGTGGCCTTCTCTCAGATTGAATCATATCAGCTTTGGGCCTACCTGGGTCTACTTCAGCCTAAAACCACCTTGGCTGGTGGTGCCAAGGATGAGTTGGTCTTGATTGAGGCTCCAAGAGATGTAAAGTCCAAAGCAGCATCTATTACCTATTTTTTGGACCAAAACAACTTGATAATTTGAGACATATGCATGAGGATTTTCTTAGCTGAGGTCCTCTTGAGCTAATAGAAGAAGACAACTTGAGATGTTAGTAGTTGTTTAGCTATTAGTTGTATTTGGAGAATTCTAGAGGCCTCTTTTGTGGGATTTTGGAGGGTGATGAGATTATAAAAAGCGAATTCTTTTTCTTCTTTTAAGTTCTCTTAGTAGGTTAAATACATTAGTGGTTGTAAACCCGTAAGGCATGGATGGACTTGTTCCTTTTGTTTGATGCAGTAGTATGTTTGTTAATTCTTTTTCTCTGTTCTTCATTTGAAGGTTTTTCCTATTGGAAATAGAGAAAATTCTAATAGGAAGGTCCTATCAGTTGGTACTAGAATCAGGTGACCCATGACTCCTGAAATCTTAAATAACCAACATGGTGGGTCACACCTCCATCAAGGTCGAGTTTGTGGCAGAGATAATTCAGGATCTTCAAACTCAAAACAAATCCAGATGATGCAAGAAGTGCAAAACAAGTGTGCCACAATGCAAAGCATAATGATAAGATGGTTGTTAGACATAATGGAAAATGTTGAAGTAACCAACAATCGTGATCTTTCCTTTTTGCCTATGTGTGAAGTAGGAAGTCCAACATCTCCCATCCATTCCACTACCTTCTATTGTAAATTATTGCGGAGGTCCCACCTAGATCAGCAATTTATTTGCTTGCTGAAAATTTTAGCTGTTGGAAATCAATATTGCAGTGCCAGACTAGCAGCAGTTCGACCTTTTATGGAGGCTACTCAGCTGTTGGACAGTATCCTAGGGCCACTTGAAGGTCTAATAGCCCCTAAAATTATGCCACAATAAGAGACCTTTTCAGGCATCAATTTATCACTTCAGCTAATCTTGGTTAAGGAAAACAGATGAAGGTTCTAGATAGCAGGGGGCAACCATCCTTGTTCCAAATTAGGGATGGGAGGGAGCCAACCAGCTCTCCTATTTCTCTCCTACATGAAATAGGATACATGGAACTAGTTAGCCCTTTCTAATTCGGCAGAGAGGCTGACCATCCTAGAGAGTAGAGGGGGGTGCCAATCCCAAAATCGGGCCTAGTGAGGGCCACAAGGATGAAAAGACAGGACAACTTGGGCATAATTTTTGAGCAAATTTTATTATCTTGTGTCATTTAGTAGAGAAGTGTAGAATATTAGGTAGTACATTGTTGTAGTAGGATTTGGGGCACTAGATTTTTAGTGCAATTTCTTCTCCATAGTTAATATATTTCAAGATTCTCCCTTGTTGAAGTAGAGAAGCCCCAGTGAGGCCAATTCCAATGTTATGATCGGTTTATAATTCAAACTCTCTAACTTTTCTGATTATATATCAACAAAAAACTATGAGGGCTACATGAAGTTGTTTACTGAGCTCCGTGCGCTGTTGAATGTTGTGTGCATTGTATTCTTGCTGTATGTTATATGAGAGGAAAATAAATTAAATTCTCTGTGCATATCAGCCATAGGCTTCAACTCTGACATTGATTTTATTAATATGCAGGTGGTGTTGGGTTTTCCAGTCCGCAAGGAAGGAGAACCACACAATTGTATGAATGATGCACAAGCTGCTATGAAGCTAGTTCTTGCTAAATTAGAACATGGATATGATGATCACATTGTTATGTCATGCTGTGATGTCCGTAAGAACTAATGCAAATCAATGCTAGTTTTTAACTGAAGAAAATTATGAACATGGTTATCTTTTTTTTCTTTTATTTTCCAGATACCTAATTCTGATTTGGCAAAGCTACTTCTTCACAAAATACCAATTGAAGTACCTACTCAAGAATTGCAAACGTTATTCTCTAGGGAATACAATGTCATTATTGAGGTTTTCATCTACTCATGTTTCATATTCTCATGAAGTATTGGAGATTGAATGTTATATCTTTTAAGCATCATAATGTGTTATCCTTTTGCAGTCTGTTACAAGGCTTCGAGGTGAAAGCTATTCAACATATGCTGTTTTCAAAAATTTTATAGAGGCAGATGAAGCATTCAAAAAAATAGAAGGTCATCAGAAGAAGGTATGTGTCAAAACTTATTGATTTCCAAAGTTTTTGCTTCTTAGTCTATACCTTCAAAGGTTCTCATTGTTGAAACATTGTCATTACTGCTGCATTAGTTCAATACACTTGTTCAAAACTTTGTACATGTTCAAGGATTGCTGCTCGGCATGTGTTGGCACCGGGTGAAACCTGTGGTGCCAGAAAGGTAGGCATGTACCATGTCAATCTATGCATGCTGATTTAATGGCCAGGCTAACTATTGGACTATGTTCGGAAACATGGATGTGTTGGCCAGCATGGCACAGAATTATACCATGGCAGAACTTATTGGGATGCCTTCATGCCATAATATGACAATCCTTTTGTGCAAGGAGAAAAAGAAAGGACCTTCTATATGAACAAGAACTAAAATTGTAAAGAATTGGAAGTGCTGTTTCAATCAGTGATGTAGTTACTTACTTATCATTAAAGATTTTTAAAGTCCCAACTCTTGAAAACATAGCATCACCTCAGTGTAGTTGTATCACTTGATGTATGTGCAAGCAGCAAGGAAACACAGTGTACCTTTTATGAATGAGGATGAACTAATATAAAAATGGAAGTGATGGGCCACTTCATGAAGAATGTGTAATGTAGTCATGAAGAATGGGTATGGAATTTTAAACAGAAATTAGTTTGCAACAAAGCTTGCAGATTAATCCAGAGTCAAATGATATATACTGTGAATAATTTAAATGGACAAATACTTGATGGCAGTATAATGTTAGCAAGAACCATGCTCTCTTTTAGGATATTTAATCATAATAGCATGGATGAAAAGACTTGCATGTGGAAAATAATTAGCGAAAATTTTGTTTTGGATGAAGGACAATGAATTAGTTCTTCAAGATGAAATTGTTTACTTCTCCCATGGAGCCAGATTTAATATTTTTTCTTATTGAGGTTGTTTCTTTTTGGCTCAGGAAGGGGTCGTGTAGTCTTTCAATTATATGGATAACTAGTTATACATGGAGGCTGGTTTTCTAAGCAACTTCTTTTTATGATACAAATGACCATATGTAATTCCAACTGAGTTTTTAGGTTTCCAGAGTCCGGTTTAATTTTTTAAATGATCTGTACAATGTGAAGTGTGAAGTTTACAGCCTATTTGGCAGCTAAAATCATGGTGATTAATCTCGGCACCAAACGTTGTCATAGCAAGGCACCTTGTTTCTGGATGTGTCCGCATGACCAGAAACAACTGGACTCACCTAGAATAGGTGGAAACTCAACTAGAACCAGTCAGTTTTGTTTGGTTCTAGTTAATCTGTAATCGAGGAAGAACATTAAAACAGGATAATTGGATGCTGATGAAGAAGGTTAGAAAGAGTAGATGTACAAGAAAAAGAAGGGTTGAAGTGTACCTGGTAATGCTGTCTGTTGTGCTGGTGCTGTTATGCATACATGAGAGAGCAAGAGACTTATTATAGTAGGTTTTAGAATAGATGAGTAAGTTGTCAAAACATGTGCATGACAAAAGTTGTCAGTACTGTTAGGACAGAAGGACGGTAGGGGAGCTCGTCGAGTGAATTTTGATAACTATAGGGCTATATCAAGGATCAAGTTTTAATCCTTATCTTCTCACATTCATGATGGAATTTACTGGCCATATATATGATAAACCTCCATGGTATAAACTATTTGTTGATGATATTGATACGGTTGACGAGAGTTCAGTTGGGATTATGCTAAACTTGAACTATAGTGACACATGTTAAAGTAAAGACTATATTAAGTAGGATGAAAATTGAATATATTAAATGTAATGCTATAAGTAGAGTGAGAAGATTTGAGGGTCTACTAAAATGTTCTTGTATGTAAAGGTTTTAAGTATCTTGAGTTCTGCTTGTACCCAATCTATTAAGTTTATCTTTTTTTAAATGAGCAAATAGCCCGATGAGCAAAACTAGGTAGAATTTACTTTCAAACTATGCTGCTGAATAACATCTGAGCTTAATTTCAGGTTGGGCCTTGTAACAAAATATCTTAGTTGCTTATGTATGTGCTTGTCTCTCATGTGTATATGAAATCCCATTTGCTACAGCCTAAGGTCTTCTATGAGGGTCTTTCTTGTTGGTTACTGTTTTAGCTAGTTTTTATCTCAAATTTCTTCTTTGTTGTGGATATTTATATTGCATTCTTAAGTGATATGAAACTTTCAGTAAGAGTAAATTTTAAAATCAACAACCAACCCTGCTCCACTTCCGTTTACTAATCAGGATTCAAGTGGTCGGCCACAGAAACTTGTCTTCATGAAACTTAGCAGTGGTAAAACAACCAGCTTCTACGTCCGCAGGATGACTGCTGAAGTCCATTTTAATGATGCCAACACATCAAAGAGGCCAGTGCAAGAAGATCCAGGGCAGCAACAAGCGGGAGATGGAACCATCGATGTGAAAAGGCAGAAGACTTGTTTGTACTCATGCAACCATGTTAAAGAGATCGAGAAGTTGAGGGAGGAGTTGCATGAAAGGGAAGAGGAAATTTTTAATTTGCAAAAGACTCTATTTGAAGTTACCAGGAACCAACATTTGTGCAATGAAACCATGTCATCATGAAGAACGTATCCTGAAAGTTGTACAATTATTATTCTTCAGTGGTCATCATTCAAAACGAGCTCGAGTGGGACAATTTTTGAAGCAGGTAGGTAGGAATGGCCCAATGTATCGGATTATATGGAAGTTATGATGCTGTGTACATGTGTTACGCAGGCCTTTCGGAAAATTTGTCATTGTATACATGCATTACCTGTAAAACTAACTTGAGTTGAAATGACAACAACAATTGCTTAGTGTTTTTCCAGCATTGTGGTTGTTGTTGTTATCGGCATAATGCATGATATATAAAAAGGATTGTTAGTAAACTGAGAGTCACTGGTTAGCTTCTCTTTGAGTCACTGAGACTCAAAACCTCTTGATCTTTGTCTGTAGTGCAGTTCTGAAGTATTCAGTAGCTATAAAACTAGTCTGCAAGATGGTCTAACCACATTGTGTAAGTATTACCCTCAATCAGTTGGTAGTAAGATTTGCTAATGCTAATATCCATAAATATCGAATGCGAACCTCTTGTTCTTTGTATGTTGTACAGCTTTTTAAGTGTTCACTATCTCTAAAAGTAGTCAGCAAGATAGTCTAACCCATTGTGTTAAAGATGGCTCCCAATCAATTTGAAGTCGTATACACATACTAGTTTTAGTTAGAAGATGCAGAAAGAGTAGTAGAAGCACGCCAACAGATGGCCACAAAGCGGTAACAGTGAGGTAGAAGATCTAACTCAAACAATGACCTCAGAATTAGCACTTGAACTGCTCACTGAGACGACAAAATACATTCCTCTCTGCAGCCTCAACAAAGACCAACTCCAACCTCAAGCATAGATTTCCTCCCCACCCCCCAACTTGTCTCATCCCATTGCTCTCCACATGTTTTTTGTTAGTCAATCTGGTTTCCAGTTCCAAGCCTGTCAAGTCAAACACCACAACCAAGGGAGTCATGCACAACAATTTACACAAAACAAGATGATGCTGCAGGTTAAGATCTTGGCCTACTTCATGTCCACCCCGATCTTCTTCTTCAAACTCTCTGGCACATTCCCCGTGAGCTTGTTGTTCTGGAGATATCTGTAAGAAAGCATAGATAAACCAACCAAGAGCTTGTTTTAGATGGCAGTCTTTATTTCTTGAAGAAAGACTTACATCTCCTTGAGGTTTTCGAGTCCTCCCAGTGAAGATGGAATCGATCCGCTGAGTTGATTGTCCTGCAGTTGCCTGATACATTGGGCAATTCGTATGAGAATGCTTCACCAAAGTCAACGAGGGAGAAGAGTAGATGTTGGAGCTTACAAGGAGACCAAGTTCCTCAGAGAGCTCATTTCAGGGATTGGACCAGAGAGTTTGTTCCCGGAAAGCCAACTGCAAGCACAAGTCTTCCCATGAACTCAATCCAGCCTCGGGGAAGAAGCAACTAAGTCTAGATTTCAGTCGATATCTTACATGTTTGCGAGTGCCGTCAAGTTGTTGATGCTGCTTGGCAGCGATCCTGAGAGGCCAAAGTTTGTGAGGTTCCTGCAAACAGATAGATGCATCAACATTTCTTGTCCTCGAAAAAGAAGAAGAAGAAGAAGAAGAAGAAGAAGAAGAAGAAGAAGAAGAAGAAGAAGAAGAAGATTACACTCACAGTCCCACTATTCTGATGGAACCACTCTGAGAGCAGCTCACTCCAGTCCATGAATGCTGCCTGGGCAAGCATGGATCTCCTCTCCAGTCCGGCGGTGGGTTCTTAAGGTTCCTCGCGAGATCCTCCATTGTAATCACTGCAACAACGACAACGTCCAATTCATACACACACCCACACCTTCTCAGATCAAGTCCATGGGATTGAGCTCAGTTACCATCTCTGGTTATAGTCTTCTCCCCAAAAGGCACTATCTGAAGGATCTCCCCTGCATTGATCACAGGACCAACAGGCGAATCGCTGCTGGGGGTCATCACAATCTCCACCTTCCCTGAGAGAGACCACTGCGTCCCGTACACCGTCACACCCTCGGCCGAAACATTCAACCCCTTGTAGAACTCCCTGCCATCGACGGCCACGTCGAACACTCTCCAGCTGAACGGGCTGGGCGTGCGGTTGTCCTGGAAGTAGAGCGCCACGTAGTAGGCGGCGCTCGGCAGCGTCACCGGCGGCCACTGCACCGCGAGCTTCTTCCCTCGGCTCGTCGTCAGAGCTCTCTGGAACACCGTCGCCGGCGGGAGGTTCCAAAACTCCGACGGCGTCACGTTCGAGTGGCACTCCACGTACGGGTTCGAGTCCGTGAACGCCTCCCAGTATCGGTTGAACGGATCATCTGGATAGCTAGTTACACGACTCCCATCGTTGAGTGCCTCCACCAACTCAAGAACCAGCGATGGAATGGGAAGAACAAGCTCCGTACCTGACGATCTCGCCGCTGTAGCCGAAGCGGTGTCGCGCCACCGTGCTCAGCGCGTACTTGGTGAAGTCCGTGCCGTTGTACATGGAATCCTCCAAGCTGACCAGCTCGAGAGCAGAGATGAAGGGGCTCGAGGTCGTCTGGTTATTCCTCGCCAAGCAAAAGTTCAATGTCCTCCCCTGCGCCGCGACGACTATCTCGTAGTACGCGGTGAGGCCACTGGCGTAGTTCTCGGTGGTGTTCACCGTGCTCCATTTGGTGCCGTCGATTATCTGGTCGAACACCGGGGGCTTCTCGCCGCCGTCGAAGCCGCCGTAGTAGTACGTGGAGCGGATCAAGTACTTGGCTCCTCGCCCGACGGGGATGCTGTAGCAGTACTTCCGAGCTGATTCATCGGGGAAGTACCTCACCGTGGCAAGTATGGGGACGATGTCTGGAGTTCCGATCTTGGACACGTTGCCGACGTTGATGAAACCTTCGTCGGGGATCCATTGGATGCCTCCGGTGGTCTCCTCTTGCGACGCGCCGCAGTTGATGTAGTAACCTGCGCACGTTAGTTCTCTCTCTCAGTAAGGAAATGGGAGGCGAGTCTTCTGCTGTCATCACGACCGATCAAGTAAATGCAACAACACAAGCGGATGAATTGTAATTGGAATGCGACGGTAGATTTCCTTGACATAAAGATTTTGCTGTAATCACAACTCTGCTTCTCCCGCGCACAAAATGCCAAATTAGCATCACAAACTGACAAGAACATGGGCAAACACAAACCTCCAGGAAGTGCAAGAGCAGCATGGTGGCAGAGGAGGAGGAGGAGGAAGAAGATGGAGAGGGGCATTGTTCATCTGGCTGGAATTGGAGGCCCTAAACATACAAAAACCATGCTGTGGATTTGAATCTGTTAGACTGCAGGGAGCCCAAAAAATTGAGGGTGTTGGTAAGAGGGGACACCCCAAAATGAGGAACTCGTAGCTCCAGGCCTTGGCATCTGCCACGTACAGAGAGCCTTGTTCTTGGTGGATTGCAATTTTAGCAGTGGTTTGATCTGGTCAAAGCATGCCATTGCCACATATTCTTCTTATTTCTTGATGTGTTTTATATGACAATTAATTTAAATTTAATCTGATCGAGATTACATGAGAGACTATGCTGTCTCCAGAAGAACATGTTGTCTATCCACCTTTTGGCTCATAATATGAAGCATTGGGGAATCTGGCATTGATCATGAACTAGAAAATTTTCATTCTGAAAAATATTTCTCTGGATAATTGACTGCAACAGGAATACTTTTGTGCAATCAACCTTGATTACAAAGAACCCTCCCTATTAGAAAAAAAAAAAAAATAAATCTTGGTTGATCAGCCACTGAATTCTTCTGCCTTTCATTTGGAGCTAAAAATGAAGATAGGAAATTTATCTTTTTTTTCTGCTCCACATAACCATTAGTTTCGCAAACAAGAAGTATCATAACAAGTTTACGACTTCTCCGTATCCTTTTTTTTCCCTCAGTTTAATCAACATGAGTAAACAAATCAAACAGCCGAAAACGGCACAACAAGAAGAGCTTTAGCACAAGTCGACAAGCTTAACTTGCCAATATATGTACATAACATCCATACATTCTCAACTTACATGGTAGAATGAAGTCCCCAAACAATCTATACAGGCTTCCATGATGATATTACCAAGCGCAACATACAAATTTTGTATCACCTAGTACCCTAGCAGTTTTGTGGCCACATCGATCAATATCTTGATGATCGAGTGCAACATACAAATGATCAAATGCCTGCAAATCGTACGTCGATGACTTATTTTCTTCCGACATGAGAAGTTCTTACATTGGTTTTTCCATCAAATTTTGCACCGTCTTATATCTTAAAAGCCTTTTGAATTTCTCCCACCACTCGGTTTGCGACGTCAGGACTGAACATCCTCGGCAAGTTTGCAGCAAGATCGATCTCGATGGTCTTGTTCTTAATCAAACCATCTCTTCTCAGCAAATTGGCCCTCTCGGTCTCTCCCAGCTGTTTACTGCTGCTTGCACATGTATCCAACCAAATTCGAACAATCTCCTTGCAGATGGCGTCCAGCCGACCTCGCATTATGTCTTCCATCATGCCTTGTCCATCTTCTCCGCAATTGATGCAAACCGCAATAGCTGTTGGTGACAGGACGCTGCGAATGTAAAGAGAGGATGAGCAGTAAGGTTGCACCTGCGGAAGTTTCGCAAGTTCTTGCCTCGGCTTGTCCAAATTGGTTTGCTGGTAAAACTCATCAAGGTAATCGGGGTGGAGGACAAGGTCTTTGCGGGGCAGCAAATCTGTGAAGAGGATGAGGGAGGATGGGCTGCTTTGTATGAATTCCATTAGAAGGTGAGGAGCATCTGTGGCGGCATCAAGGAAGGCGAATAAAGTGGTTATGTTGAGAGCACCTGTGGGGAGCTCACAGTGCAGCCATGATTCCAGAATGAAGTCAACCTGAATTAGAAGCAAAGGCAGGGTGACCATATCAGAAATTGGACTTTTATATCAGAAAATGTCAAGAAAAATCATCTCAATGTTCACTATCATGTTTAGATTTCTATATCGAGAATGACATGGTGATCTTCTCCTTATTTAGATAATATTTACACCTGATCGAACACAACACCTGAAACTGGAAGTGATTGGGAATGTCATTGCATCTAAAAATGCTAAGTCAGTAGATGAGGGTCTACTGTACCGAGCCGTACCGCCCGGTATGGGCGGTACGTACCGGTCCGACAGATTGTCGGTACGTGGACGGTACGATATTGCGAACCTTGGATGAGACATGATCTAATTTATGTAACCCATCGCATGAACTTGAATTAATTAACCGAATAACTTCATATTCAGAATAGAAATGAACAAAATGTTCAGAGCATGAAGCAAAACAGATCATCTGCAAGTCTGCCTGACTACAAAATACTGTTGGTATATGTGAGATTCTAGTCTACTTATAACCTTATTCAACACAAATCGCATTGCTGCGGCCTCAGATTCAATCTAGAATCACTTTTTTCCATGAAAGGAGTGATTTTTGTGGTAATACAAGTCTCAGTTCTTTTGCTGATTGATAGCTTTTGCTGTGAGAGAGAGATCCTGCTTTTATCATCCATAAACTAAATCAGACAACATTTTTGATTTGATAGCGTTTTTCTCACATCTGCAAGTAGTTCTATTTGTCTCTGCGTTGATTAATCTCAATATTTCAGCTAAATCATCGTCACAGGGCATCAGAGACTGTCTTCTAGTTGAGCGAGAATCTAAGATTATATGGCAATAGCCGTTCCATTAGTTACAGAGAAGGGGGCGACGGGTGCGTACGGGGGAATCGCGGCCGCCGGATCGGATGTCGAGGGCGCCGCGGGAAGCGCCGGAGGGGCTGTGGAAGGAGAGGACGTCGGGGGGGACGGCGGAGGGGAGGAGGTGGGGCCCCAGCCGGTCCTCGACCACGGAGCGGAGATCCAGCATCAGGTCCCGGTGCGACGGCGGGAGGTAGGGGAACTCCGCCACGGGCGACGGCGGGCCGGACATCGATGCCCGGATCCGGTTCGGCCGCCTCTTGCTGCCGGCGATCGCAGTAGAAGAGCACGGACGAGGAGGAGGACGGCGAGACGAGAGCAAGCGGAAGGGCGAAGGGAGGAACGAGGAGGAGGGCAATGAGGGCATTTCACTCTCGGATTCCGCTTGGATACGGCTGCGCCGCATACGTGTTATCTTGTAGCCGGTAGATTTGCCTTCTCTTGGTTAACGTAGCTTTAGAAAGGCCCACTTCGATCCAAGATTAGATTCCATGAGCGGTGGCTGACGAGATCAACGCACAGAACTGCGCAAAACTGCAAGTCCCGACGACAGCAGAGTGAGGGTGGAGACGGAGTATTTCCATCTTGCATCACTCGTACCCTTCTTTTGTTCTTCTTGTTCCTCTCAGATCTTTGGTGGAAGAAACTAATTACGGGGATGGCAGTGCAGAATGCAAATGGAATCCCTCGACTCAATCAACGCGGCTGCGGTCGGAGGGAACATGTCGGCCTGTGGATATTCCCTCTCCATGAGTTCTTTGTTGTCTGCTGCTCTCCATGTCCACCATTGTTATCCTTGTTTCACCTGCTCGTTTCACTCCACAAGTGATCTTATATAGAACTGCACGCAACACTGTAAGTTGCAGGAAGAAGAAAGAGGTAAAGGACAGGTCCTTCTTCAAGAAAAAGGCTCTACGATTAAAGATCTATACATGCTCTGGCAGCAGCAGCACCACCTTGTGACATGTCCTCCGCAAGAGAGGCAGCGATGAGATAAAAAACAGAGTTGCTTCTCACCATTCTTTGTTGTAAGTTTGTGCTCATTTCTCATTATAAAGCCTTCCTACTGCATTGGGACTGTGCAAGCCTCATCAGATAAGAACTCTTTCGTTCTTCATACCTTCTCTTCTTCTGCTTTGCTTTACCTCGAATCGTCTCCTCTGCAGCACCGTTTGACGGGGCTCCAAGTCGAACCCTTCTTCTCTCTCGTCCTCCACAGTTGCAGGAGAAGTAATGGACGTGGACTGCCTGAGCTGTGTTAAAGAAGCCGGAGTGGATCTGATGACGATGACGACGGAGATGGAGAACCTGAGTGAACTATTCCAAATCACCACTTCATGTCTCTCCGGCTTTCTGCACACATGTAGCCTCCTCTTTGCTCGTCGGCGCAACATCTTCCTTACCTTTCGGTGGTCCCCAGGAGCCGGCGGAGACCGGAGGCAACGGGCAGCCCCCGGTGGATGCCATGAAAGAGATGATATTTCTCGTCGCGGCGATGCAGCCCATTCACGTAAACAGGGAGCTGCTGAATCCGCCAAAGCGGCGGAATGTGAGGGTCTCGAAGGACCCCCAGAGCGTGGCGGCCAGGCACCGGAGGGAGAGGATAAGCAGGAGGATAAGGATGCTGCAGCAGCTCGTCCCCGGGGGGCCCAAGATGGACACGGCGTCGATGCTTGACGAGGCCATCCACTACGTGAAGTTCCTCAAGCGCCAGGTGCAGTTCCTGGAGCGGGCAGCCAGCTCCGCCGTAAACGGGCTATCCACTACCGGTGCTGCCACCACCACCACCACCACCACCACCGGTTTCTCTGCAGTTGGCACAGGATTCATGGATGGAAGCTACTTGTGGTTCGAGAAAGGGTACGATGGTGGGCTGGGGAGTTCATCACGAACAACAATGTCTCAGATGCATGTCGAGCGGAAATGAAATGGATATACGATACTCACTAGTAGAGGAAACTTGATGACATTTTAGGTTTGAAGAAAGAGAACTCGTCAAGCTTAATTACTTTCTACTTTTGTCATTAATCTATCACTCCCTATCATAAGATCTATCATCGTACTATTGCTTAGAGAAGAATGACCAATTATCGTGTTGAGCTCCATGATATGAATTTTAGGTTACACGCATAAAGTCTTACTCCTCGGTCCATGCACCACCCTTAAACTATATATATTTATATATCTTTGATTACACGCATAATGCGATTGAAAAATTATTTATATATCTTTGATTAGAGAGTTCTTACTCTAACTCTAGTGTTAATGCTTCTTAATTAGTCTTCCTTGATCCAATTCATAAATCGTAATTTTGTAAAATTCAAAAAGGTACAAATGAGAGAGAGAGAAATATATGAGTAGGAAAATGATTAAGAGAATAGATAAGTTAGAGAGAGTGAAAAAGGGAAAGAATGAGAGGGTAGAAAGGGTTTTAAAATCGGCTTAAATGGTCAAATAGATCATTTGAATTCAACAAATCTCAACCATTGATTGACATATACCCCACGATACAAGGTCCCTTATTATGGAATGCCCGATACAAGACGATCCACATGTCAGTCCCTGTTGGATTAGTACGTATCGCCCGTTATAGATTGACAGAACGTATAAAGGAAGGCATTATCCTACAAAAACTTAGTGGAAGTGGCTATTTTTTTTGTGATGTTAAAAAGTTCTAAAATCTAAAAAAAAACTTCGAAAATTAAAAAAAGGATATTTGGATCAATTTCCATAGTTGGTGGATTAACTGAAGCTATATTTCCATACATGCAAAACAAAGAATCAAAATGTGGCAAAAACAAAGTATTGTTGTCATGAGAATCGAACCTACTCATCACTTATATAAACTACTATAGTGTGTTACACCAATTCATCATGCCAATGTGTCTCAGCTCATCATGAAGAAGAAGTCATGAGCTGCTCAACCACATTCAATCACAAGTAGTAGTCCGTGGGCCCATCTCAAGAATGGTGGGCCCTACTGTGCCTCACAACTCACTTTTAATATGACCGACCATCCATCCATCAAAACAGTGCCCAGTCATGCTTATGGGTGGTCGCATGCATAACATATATCATAGCCATTAATCAATCCAACAAGCAATACAACATGAATCTGTGATCGGCTACTGTTCCATCTCAAAAGCATCTGAAGTGAACTTTTGTCTAAATCGTGCTTCTTCCTAAATATGACATCATGTTGGTGTATGTTTCCAACTCCTCATTATTATTATGCTGTACAATCTTCTTCTTCACCTTCCACAATATCTATCTGTTTACAGTATGTCTCGTGCTTCAACACTTTTTGTCTGCTATCTCGGTCCTGACACCTCCTGCGACGACAAGTACGAGAGCAGCGGCGACGGTGTCGCGGATCCTCTCCTCCCGGTCGGATCCCGGGATCCTCCTCCGTACAAGCTCAGATAGTTGAGGGACTTCAACGTCGGCTCGCAGACCGGCGTCGTCCCCTCCAGCATCGCCGCCACGGCCATCATGCTCGGCCTGGACGCCGGCTCTTCGTGCAGGCAGCATAATGCTACCTTCACCACCGTCTCCACCTCCGGCCCGGTCGCCCTCCCTTGTAGCCTCGGGTCGGCCAACTCATCGTACGTTCCCCTCTCATGCATCTCCAACGCCACCATCGGAAAGTACGGCACCGGCCTGGACGAGCCGGAAGAGGCGGTCGACCCGGTCCACTCCGGTCCGCTCTCCTCCGTCCGGTTCTTCCTCCCGCGCACGATCTCCAGCAGTACCATTCCGAAGCTGTACACGTCCGTCTTGTCGGAGATGGCGGAGTTGGTCAGCCATTCCGGCGCAAGGTAGCCTCTCGTCCCCCTCATCGTGGTGAAGAACCCGGACTGCTCCCGGCTCATCAGCTTCGCCAGTCCGAAGTCCGCCATCTTCACTTGGTTGTGATCGTGGAGTAGGATGTTCTCCGGCTTCACGTCGCAGTGGATGATCCTGTGCTCGCAGCCGGCGTGGAGGTAGGCGAGCCCCCGCGCCGCCCCGATGGCGATGTTGAGCCTCTCCCGCCACTCGAGCACCGGGCCGTGGCCAAAGAGCGCGCGGTCGAGCGAGCCGCGGTTCATGTACTCGTAGACGAGCAGCCGCCTCGGCCCCTGGGCGCAGAAGCCACGGAGCCGCACGAGGTTGACGTGGTGGATGTTGCCGATGACGGCGATCTCCGTGCAGAATTCTCTCTTCCCCTGCACGTTGACGGCGTCGATCCTCTTCACGGCGACGAGGGACTTGTCCGGGAGCTGTCCCTTGTACACGGAGCCGAACCCCCCGGAGCCGATCCGCGTCTGGAAGTTGTCGGTGGCGGTCTCGAGCTCGGCGTAGGTGTACCTTGTGGGCAGGCCGGTGATCGTGATCTCCTCCTCCTCATCGTCGTCCTCCTCCTCGGAAAATTCTGGGGCCATTGGCCACCTCAACCCGCTCGTCATCGACTTGATCCTCGTCATGCCTCCCGTTCGGCGTGTGCTCCTCCTCCACGTTGTGAAGTACATGAAGGAAATGCAGATCACCAGTAGAAATGTAGCCGTAGATGGTAGCAGGATGATGACGAAACGGACCGAAGAGGAGAATTTGTTCGAAGGAGAAGGTGGTGATGGGCGGTTGAGAGTCTTGATGTAGCCGGCAGCCAGGTTGTCGCCTCCGTCATCCACGATAAAGAGAGAGCCTATCTGGCGTTCGAGGAGATAGCAAGACTTCGATGAGTTCTTGTAGAAGAAACCAAGACAGGAGCAGTTCCCAGAACAGAGATGTTGGCACGCCGAAATGTTAGCTCCGGAAGCGACCGGCATCGAGAACTTGGTCCCGAAGTAGCCGATTCGGCTTCCCAGGCTCGTATACGTGGCCGACGTCCCACCATCGCCTTCAGCGTTGTCGCGGCACGAGGCGTTTGCCAAAACGGAGCCGTCCGCCGGGGAGCAACCGCCGGCGGGCGACGCCCCCAACGGGGGCGGGCAGCTGCATTTGGAGCTGTTGGCGCCCGGAGCGCAGAGGCCCAGCGAGCCGCACGCTGAAGGGAGGTCGCAGTCGTTGCTTGGCACCACGAAATCGGTGTCGAAGACCACCGCCGACAGGGACTCGTTCGGCGAGAAGCTCAGGATCCGGAACCGGCCAGAGGGGTCCAGCTTCGCGATGTGGAACTCGTCAGGGAACGACGAAGTCGGCGGAGGGAAGATCATCCTGAAGACGGCGGTTTTACGATCGCCGGCGAGGAGGTAAAGGCCCGTGGCGTTGACGGCCATGTAGCTTACCTTGAAGTTGGAATCTTTGGTGGCGCGGAGGTCGGTGGAGAGGGACCAGTAAACCAGCGAGGTCGGGGTCCATTGGAGGAGGGAGTCAGCGGGGGTGACGAGGAGGCGGTAGTCGCCGGGGGCGGGGTCGCTGTTGGAAATAGCGGAGGAGAGGGAGGCAGAGGCGGGGAGGAGCTGATCCGGGAGGAGGGTATCGGTGGGGTGGTCGAAGGAGGACCAGAGAGAGGCGTTGGCGGAGTCGAGGAGGCGGAGTTCACCGGAGGGAAGGAGACGGAGGGCGGCGACTGGGGCGGCGAGGGGCGGGGTGGACCAGGCGAGGGAGCCGTCGGGGAGGGAGAGGGCGAGGCCGGCCGAGGTGAGGGCGAGGTTCGCGGAGGGGGGGACAGGGGCGGCGGGGTTGGCGGTCCAGACAACGGCGCCGGAGGGGGCGTGGAGGACGGCGAGGTAGTAGCGGGACGGCTGCTTGCCGGGGTTGTGGAAGGCGACGGCGAAGGCGGATGAGGAGAGGAAGACGCCGGAGCTGTCGATGAAGTGGAGGTAAGAGGCGGTGAAGTTGGGGTAGACGAACTCGCGGGCGACGGGGCCAGCGACGGAAAGGAGCGGCGCGAAGGCCAGGAATAGGAGAGAGAAGAGGGAGGAGGAAGCCATGGGAAGTGGAGATCGAGAGAGATGAGAGGAGGAGGCCAATAAACGCTGTTGCAGCGACTTCGGACGCGGTGAAGTGGCTTGGGGTCGTTGACCAAGGAGAAGTTGGCGATTGGGAATTGAATGCTGATGTGGACGAGTAGGGCACGGAGGACAAACAAAGCAGACCGCCAATAATTTAGTCAACGCAGACGTAGTTTGATACAACATGATAATGATCGATCATCGTTATTTAGGCTCCTATGTCATAAACACGATTCCAATCGAGTCAAACCAGCTTAGGAGTAAATGGCTTACTCGAGCTCATTCACGAAAGTCAATTGACTAAGCTCGTAATTTTGTTAGATCTTCCTTACTTTTTGAGATGTCTTTTGAACCTCACATGGATAAAATCGTAACCTATCGCATCAATGATCGATTGATCAAATGCTTCATTATTATATTAGTACTAGAATGAGGATCCAAGATTTACACCTCAAATCGATTTAACTTGTTCCCGAGTCGTGCACGATCAGTCAAACTATATATGAAAAGACTCTATATTCTAAAAATATAATTATGTCTAAGAATATTCTTTCATTAAATTAAGTGTAAAAACTATTAAGATATACAAATTAATCATCATTTTTACCAACAAGTTAGTGGTGAGTCAAAAATATTAACCATGTCAACAAGATACACCATTTCTATGGCCATTTCTGACTCAACTAAACGTTGATCATCCAATGTCAGAGCCAATCAATTAAGTTTGTGTGAGAGAAGAGAAGCATGCAGGTCAACGCTACAACTCATCGGAAAGAGACCCAACCAGAGTTGACCTTTTGGCACTGATGTCACCGGTGGCATCACTAACATTTATATCCTTCGTTAGATGCCGGCTGAGATGAGTTGCCAAGCTTGGACTTTTGCTGGGGGAGGTCGAATAAAAAAAGTAGGCTGCCTGAGTATAATATTCGAGGAGGATGACAAACCTTTTACCTACACCTCTCCATTCACCGTTTAAAATGCTACATAATCGAGCAAGATATTATTTTTCATGAATATATATATATATATATATATATATATATATATATTAATTATGAAATCAAATAATAGTAACCCTGCTATTACCATATATTTATATGATTAAGATTTTTTATGATACGATACACCATATATTTCATACCTCCACACGAGGCCCCATCGTCGATGACCGCATTGTCGTTGAAGCCGTGCTAAAACCTCTTCGTAGCAACCTTCACACCCGGTGAAAGGACGGACGCCACCGGTTCTTCCTAGTCTCGATGGTGCCTCCTCCGACACCTGAATCTAACTAAACGAAGAAGTAAAGATTTCTCATTTAGAAGGGGAGAAAGACAACATGACAATCATCGTGGAGGTGAAAGTGAGAAGAAGCCAACCCCAGCAACAGCGTAGCGACTACGAAGTCCCTCCCTCCGATCGCCCATCGCAAAACTTAAAAAAAAAACTTACAAAGCAGAAAAATGGAGATGCAGGGTATCGAACCCTGTACCTCTCGCATGCAAAGTGAGCGCTCTACCATTTGAGCTACATCCCCAATTTATGTAATGTGTTATAAGGGAAATTATAAAACAAAGTAACTAAAACGCTTAGAACATAAACCGCATGGGCTTTATGTCTTGCTCAATAGTAGTATGATTCTTCGCATGTTTTCCTACTCTTAAGTTCTTTGGGTCCTTTATACGAGTGATAAATTAGTTTGGGCTTCGGCTTCGAGCCTTTGTCTTTGGCATAGTCTGTCATATGTAACTGATAAATGTGATTGTATGCGGTAGAAGATCAACCTACGTTGCATTAGAGGATTAAAATATTTCGAGTCATGTAGTTTTAAATTCATCAAGAAAAAAGAATTCATTTAGAGGACCCTGATATCTTAATTTGGACCAATATCCATCCATTGGAGGTAGAATGATCTTAACATCCAAGACAAGTAACAAGATATGGAACTTTTTATTTTTTAGAAAAATATACTTCTTGAGATGTTAAAAAATAGACAAAATCAAGCATGTTCGTACACTAATTAAAATAGGTTTAAAATTTAACTACGTGGCAAGATTGATAATACTTTATAAATTATGAAGAATGTGATTTTGAATTACTTAGTGTCATCATATTGAGTTATAGTCAGTTCCTTCGTTAATGTGCCAATCAAATAGATTTACATATGTCTTCAATAATCCTTAAATAGCCCAATACACCAATTACAGTCGGTATACAAATTTTATATTATTTACAATCGTCATTCTTATAAACATTAAACTAAGTCTATTAGATGTTTACCAAACATTCATTTCATTAAGTTGTTCCATGATATTTTCATCAGTCAAGTCTACGGGCCTTTCAATTACTAAGTCAAGATTTAACAGATTTAGTATGAATATGAGAATATATAGAAGAAAGTATCACTATAAAATATAAAATAATATTAATATTTTAAGTTTTCAAGATATAATGAACTATTGATATTATTCATATTTCACCATTCGATATAATATTATAATTATGAAATAATGTTATTATCTTTGGGTATATAACTCTACACTATAACGATATCCAAAATAATATCATCAAATCCTATTGCATAATTATTTAAAATATATTTTTTTAAATTATCTAAATCTCTTAATTATGTGTATAATTATAAATATTATTTCGTAAATATCATTTAAAGATTAATTATTTAATATAATTTTATAAATTATTGGTCTAGACTACTTTAACTGCTATAAGACCAATATAGTAATATAAAATATAAATATTTTATAAATAATAAAATATTTATTATAATTTATATCATATAAGTTTATCGTCCTAGGCCACTTTGGTAGCTATCAATAAGATAAAACTTAGGGGTATAAGTTACAAATAATACTAACTAAGTATCATTTTAAGTTAACTTATATCAAAATAATTTAATAATAATAAAATAATAACTATGATAATTATTAAATATTAGTCAGCTTAAAAAAACTCATATGATAACTACAATTATAATAAAATAAAAATTATATTTTTATATGAGAACTAAATATAATTTCATAATCTTAAAGCTATACATGTAAATAACTAAAAAAAACCCCAAAATAATAATTGAGATTTAATTATCACATGCAAAAATATGTCATATGAATAGTTTATATTTTTTAATTTCGCATGGAACCCTAAATTAAACCAATCAACCCTATTTAATTAGGCAAGTCAACAATTGAGCTAACCATTAGTCAAATTAAGTAAAAATAAAATTAATTAAAGTAAAAAATTATCAAAATTTTGATTTTTTTTTGTATTCGATCAAAACTTGATTGAACAAATCTAAATCGAATCAAGTAGTCAAAATATAGCCATGATAAAATACAATCAAATATTTGATTAAAAATAAATCGTATTAATCAATTTTATAATTCAGGATACAAGTCATAAATTCATAATTTCTTAGGGTTAAAACTATAATTTTATAGGATATATATAGTAGAATTATAGAGTTTCTAAATAACTATAAAAAAGATAAAAAATAGAATTAATATGATTTATAGGGATAAAATCATAATTTTAAAATCAAACCCTAATTCTCTTTTCGCGATCACTACGCGAGGCATGTGACCGACGCGGTGCGTGGCCATCACTTGCGCGCCATCTAGTGTCGCCGATAGTGGCGATAATACAATTGCTCATGCGATGCTATGCCACTTTGCCCATGTGTTGCCTAGTGCAGTCATTGACATTCGACATATAGTGACGTTGCCCAAGGCCAATAGATGCCACCACAGCAGCAATGGTGCAACCATTGTAGTTGCATTACTGCAACGATCGCACGCATCAATGCTATTGTAGTTGTCGCAGTCAGCGGTGTTGCTACAGCCATCGTAGGAAGCCTAGGGCTGCCACACCCCATAGTGCTTTCTCTGTTTACGCAGTCACTATCCACGACTAGACTGGCGACCATTGAAAGGTCATTATCCTCAACAATAATATCGCTGACAGTAAGTTATCGATAATGGCCAATCGATTAATCTCAACAAGGTTATCACTCGAAAAAAGTA